ATATATAGAGTCATGCAAGTTCAAGTTGGGTTTGCAACCTTTCCGATTTTTGGGAAGGAGTTCGATGTTCTTGAGTTCTATGCTGGCAATGGAAACTTGTCTCGCTACTGTAAGCTTGCCAACCTACGGACGGGATCTTTGGACATTATGTACGAGATGCAGTCAGGAAGATATAGCAGTAACGCAATGGACATTCTGAGTCCCTCAGGTTTCGCGTTTCTTGGAACATTCTCAGATTTTAGCCGTTTGATATTTAAGTTGCAGAGTGCAGGAATATTTTAACAATATCAGCTGGTATGTAAACCCTCTACCTGTTGCCCGGGCTGGCCCAGGTTGGCAGTGGCTGCTATCCTGAAGTGCTGTCGTCCGCACTTCCTGGGAATGTTTGCAATGAAGTGTTCTAGCTTCACGTCAATCAACAAGGGCACTTCAAATCGTGCACCCTGTTCAAGTGTTGGGTTTGATGGGTACGAGAGCGTCTGTTATTCGAATGGCCTTTTGGAGCGGAAACTCAACTTGAATTAATTTACTATATATATATATATAGTTGTTTTATTGGGATCTGGTGGAAATCACACAATTAAAAACCATGCAGATGATATATAATGACCTTGCTTTCTGCTATGTAAGGACAGTCCTACTCCTGATCTTAGTCACCATCCTGGATGGAACCTGGTGCCTTGAACAACCCGGAAATTCCTGTTTGGAATTTTACCCTGTCATCCGTGCGTTCATCACAGCCCTATTTGAATGTCAAGGAGACAGCGCCGTTACTTTCCATGCAAATTAAGCAAGTGGTTGGGGCATGTCGACAGTTATATAAATTATGTTGCTTTCTTGTGCGCAATATTGATTTACCATATATCAGAAATCCTATAGCCAAGTATCGTTCCCAACATAGATGTCAGCAACAAAAGAAAGTGCCCACATATGGTCAAGCCTCAGGTTTACCGGACCCAATGGTGGATGGCCCACTACGGTGGAAAGACGCCCAAGAGGCACTACGGGTACGCCAATAGCCCCAGCATTCAGTCTTTGGATAAGGGGCGTTTGGTTGGTTGGAAGAAGCGGGACAAAGCCCTGAAAGTCGAAACCGCTGTTCAATACAAAGATCGCTCTGGACGTCTCCGCTACAAGGGAACAAAACAATTAAAGAAAACGGAGCCACCCGACTTTAACTTGGTCTTGGTTGTGCCATATATAAGTCAAATTATATAATATTCATTTTTTCCCTTTTCTGGTTTCAACATATATACCGATCATATACCAGTCGACTTGAAAATATACAATCTTGTGCAGGGTTAGTTTTAAAGTTGAAGCTATACTTTTCAAGGCTTCTGGGGCCAGGGTAACCTTGTTGGACCAATCCCAATCAAAATAATGACATTCTACCCCGGAGCATGTGGATCTCGAGTGTTTCAAAACCATGTATGTTGAAAGTTGGAATCAGTCAGTAATCACGTGCTTTTGAGCCATCGATCTAAGGGAATATCCTCTGCAATTTGGCAGAGAGATTGTCGATCTCTTTGACCTCTTGGCTGGATCCTCAAGAGGAGCCCCACCGTTGCCCACGACCGGCCTCCCACCTGCAACAGCTTCGTTTCTGGAGCTGCCAGACGACGAGCCATCAGCTGGCCTTAGCTATGCGGCGCTGCAGCCAGTTTATGAATATTTGAGACGGGGGAAACACCTCGTCATTCCTGATGAATGGGTTCCGCTAATCCCCAGGCCTTAACTCCTGAAAACTATATATATGAAATTATAGGCCCAACATGGCCCAACCATTGCCAAGGTGTGTAAATCTCATCAAGCTGTAGTACTTTGCTATGTTTTCACCAAATCGCAGAATGGCCAGAGTATTGTATACCACTTGCTTGCCAGACCTTTGCCAGGAATCCTTTTGCAACATATATGAGGGGTGTAATCCACCGGTACCCGACCCACCAGAAACACAATGTTAAGCTGATGTTCCACTGTTTATGCAAAGGTCTCCATTCAAGCATTGGTATTTTGCAACGCTGCAAAGGGGAAACCGGAACCATATACCCACAATTATGGATGATCCTGATGTCTTTTAAGATTTTTTTCATTTTTTTTCACATTTTTTGATTTTTTTCTGGTGTTTAGGGGTCGTACCCGTAGAGAACCCGTAGATTAGCCGTGGGAACCCGTGGAATTCTGGAGAAACATCGTGTTTTAACAAAACATCGTGTTTTCCCAACCCGTGGAGAACCCGTGGATTACCCGTAGCAACCCGTGGAGAACCCGTATAAATATATGGGTTCTGGGCCCCAAAAAATGAAATCCAAATGGTTGCATTTTTCATCTTTTTTGTGGGACTAATTTCGATTTAGATTGCCGAGAAGTGGCAAACATTCGATGGGGTGACAATTGAGATGATGTGAAAAAGGTCAATCTTGCCTAAAGTCTTGAAACACATCGCATGTTAGTTTTTTTGGCCACCTGTGACCAGGAATTGCACATCTCGGGTGTGATGGCATTGTGACCATGATTTGACATTGCTTTTTTTTGTCTTTTTTTCAGGGTCACAGCAATTCAACCTGTTACATCCTGTTACGGATTTGAGCCCTCGCTTGATAAGCCATGGCTGTGGCTTCCCAATGCCCAACATCTTCTAGAGTCTGGAGTTGTTCCACTCTACGAGATGGAGTGGAAGATCTTGTTTCTAGACAGCGTGAGCTTGAAGCGGAGGAAAACGAATTGGAGAGACAGATCGAGGACTGAGCTTTCACCGAGAAAATAATGAATGGTGTTGTGACATATGCTGGGCATATATATTGTATATATACGTGCATAACATGCGATAACCCATGCATGCTATAATCCCACCACACATGCAGCTTTCAACATATATGACGCAAACATCCCAGGAGATGGCAAGTCAAATTCTTCGCGATGCGCAGGGAAGCTCCCCAGGGAATGCAACTTGGTTTGGACCATGGTTTCTTCAGTGCATGCAGTTGCCATTCGGCATGATTTATATATCTGCAGTTTATATGTTGCAAACTTTAAACAGGAATCCAAAATACATGGATCATAAACAATAAACGCTTGCCCCTGTCTGTTTATATAGATCTTTACAGCGGATTTGAGACACCGCACATGCGCAACTCTCTCAGGGTCCCGAACGATCCGACCGTGTTCATCAAGCAGAAGCTTCTCCTGAGGATGAGACGCAAAAGGCTGTGGAGAATGCAGGTTTTGGGTGCTTGGGGTCAAGTTAAGTAAGAAAGCTGTCCAAGAATATATCATGTGGTTATTTCAAATGGAAACCGTGGCAAACATTTTAGGTGGAACGGTGCCTTATTGTTTCAATAAACTGGTTCCAATAAACGATCGATACACAAGAATATATAGCTCCTTGGCTTGGGGGATAACTGCATGGTTGAACGGTTCAAAAGTAAAATGCATGGCATCAACAATTATGAATCCGGAACTTTTCATGTGATTCACTTTCAGCTCAAAAGGTATACGGTGTTCAATTTGAATGGATGTCCACCTTAACACCCCACTTGTCTTTTTGTCATAACATGTTGATTCATGGTTGTCCCTGAATATCTCTGCATTGTGTTTTTCATGATGCAGGCCACATCGGAAGAATTTCAACAAGCTGGGTTGCCCACACCAATGGAGGTTGATGCTCCCAAAGCAGAAGGATATGTCCAGGCAGGGTTCATGAGATGCATGGACATATACTTTTTTGGAACCGCTCTGACATACTACCAAAACATGAGGCCATGTCTATATGTCAACAAAAAGTGAAACCAGGTAATGATATAACCACACAAACGGTGGAGCCAGGCGAACATCGCCCGACCAGTGGCTACGCCCACCCGTGGTTTGGCGCCTGATGTTGCTGAGCCTGGGAGTCACCAGACATCCGAACAAAAGGGCGATGATGATAATTCAAAGGCCCCGGAGGTGCCCATAAGGTTTCTCCTGCATGGTCATTAACTCGTTAAATCAACTTGTCAAGATTCGTTCCCAATTGACATGTTGCAATGATCAAGAACAGCCCATAAATAAGAGATGTTTATACATGTTTGAATCCTACTTTCCACCATCCCTTCAAGATACTTGCAGGTGCCTTCACTGGCGTCGGCCCCAACACCTTCTGAGAATGCGGCTGATGGTTCCGGCCTTCCGAAGAAGGCGCCACAGAGAACCCGGAAGGAGCTGACCTGGGAAGACATACGGTGACATGATGTGCTCATTTGCATTGTATCTTATAAAACTCGTTGGTATCGTGATATGAATTGCATGGATCACGTATGATGAAACACTGAATCATTCCACTAGGAGCGTCTTCGTGAAGCCGCGAAACAGCGAATTCGACGAATGGTGATGCGGCACAAGAGGGCTCATCTCAATGTGCCACAGTTCGTGGTCGATGAATGGAAGTCCAGGGATCAAAACACGATGGCCCATCTACTCATGGAGAAGAACTGGGACAAGGCGTATGCTTGGTATGGTGGGTATAGGTTGGTTTGAATTCCTATAGATCGACATGCATGAATATATATATATATATATATATATATATATATACACCACTTTTAAGGAATCCAGGATTTAGAAGGACTGAACGGGCTCAAAGAAAAATACAAAGCATCCCTGCCATCAGGCCGCCTTCATTGCTGAGCTTGAAGTGATTGTCACTAAGAAGAAGACTATCTCAATCCGGGTTGAGGAGCAGTGGGTGTCAGAAAAGGAGATGAAGTCTGATCTGAAATGGTCACCGTCCCTTGTTTGAAAACACTTTAATTGACCTATCTTTTGTGGGGAGAAACATGTAAAAACAAAGACCCTGGCATCTTTAAAACTGGCTATTGACGTGATGCCTGTTTCTGGTAAAGAAAGTGGTATTTTTGTTTTGTTCAGCCTAATATGCAAATTTTGTTTGAACCCGTTATGCAGAATAAGACTGCAATTTCCCACCATTATGTGTCCACAATCTTGGGGTCTTTCCGCCCAAGGCTCCGCATCGCTGGTGCAAAGAAAGTTTGCGAAGCCAAGCCTGACACCCACTGCCGGACCCTGTGCTGTATTTATTATTGTTGCGGCAATGAATTGATCATATCACACGATATATGAAGATGCAACCAAATAATTCCATCGATCGATGTTGACAAGTATATATATATATAATATGTTAATTGTTAACCTTCAATTCAATTTGAAACTGATATTTGTCGTCCTTTGCTGCTCCCAGGAAGAATGCTTACGATGGAGAATTTGAATTCTATGTTGTCGTTCGGGAAACCGGTGCCCGGCAACTGGAGAAAACAGAGGAAGAGATCTTGAGGTCTAAAAAGAAGGCCATACTTTCTTTGGCAAGCTTTCTGCATATATATGATATTGTTTATGCGATGGCCGGTATGTATCTTAAATTTTTATATCCCATCGTATGCATTGGGAATTTTGAACTCCCATTCTTCTTATTAACTTTGTCCAGCCATCCACTGCCAGGCAGACGAAGGACCAACTTTGGGCCAAGATACCTTCGCCGGCTTGGAGCAAGCTGCGCAAAGGACCGCTGCTGAAGATGCTGAGGCCAAGTCTGCCAAGAGTGGTGGATCTGCGCCATCCCAAATCCAGGAGGCTTGGGGGGCGCTAATATGGTTTGGCAACATATACGGCTATATAGCCATATAACTGCATGAAGTATATATACGTACAACACCAAGAAAGGACCAGCATTGATCATCATTTCATTGATCATCTATGTATGTGGGACACCCATTAACTGGCCCCCTGCCTCTGCAGACACGCGTGACCTTCACAAAGTTCATGCAATCAATGCTGCAGAAGTCAGGGAAAATCAGATCCCTAGTTCGGGAGCTCAAAGATAAGTATGCCAAGTGTGACAGCACTGCTGAGAGCCTTGCATTGTATACTATCTTGCATCCCTTGTATCTTTTCCCATCCATGATTGAGTTCACTATATAAATATATAATGATCGATATACAGATCCAGATCCATCCCAGGAACGTCAACACTTTGCAGAAGGGCTTGAAATTGATGGATGAGGAGTATGACAAATGCTCAACTCTCTTGGCTGAAGCCGAGCTGAAAGGGTTTGATGTTGCGTCGCTTGATTTAAAGACTGGTCTATATAACTTCCAATTGACATGAGACACATCCTGGCACTTTCAATGATTTAGGTTTGTCAAGAAAGCGAACGACATAATGGCCAGTGCTACCTACAAGTCTTGGGCTGAGGTTGCATGAGCATAATCATTGGTTGAACCATATTTGCATATTGAACTTAAACCCGGCCAGCCTCCACCAAAAGGTGCAGCAGCGCATGCACTTCTGAGATGAAAATTCGGTGCACACCTCAGCAAGTTTACACTTTAATCTCGAGATCATTATGAGCTCAAAAGAACCGTGCATGCATGATATCAGCAATTTGAAGTATATACTTGCACACATCGTACTTCTCTGAAAATCAGTTTGAACAATATATAACTCCTATTGTTCTTATGCACAATGCGAGGAACGCCAAGAAGTACGAGAAGAGAGACGAGTCAGCTGGAGATGCTGAGGTTTCACCTCGCGGGGTCAAGAAGGAGAAGAAGGACAAGGATTCGAAGGATCGAAAGGAGCCGAAGGGTTCCAAGCGCAAGAGTAAGAGGAAAGCTCTTGATGAGGATGAGGGTCAGGATCAGGAAACCCCAAAGGCAAAGTCCAGTAAGGTTAAGAAAGCCAAAGTTGAGAAGTGACCCTTTGGGGCCGGCGGCTGATCATTTGATCAATCTTGCGGGAAGTCTGTTTGATTTCATGTCTTAGTTCAATTTGCGAAAAGCAATTGGTTCCAATCTTACGTGTGGCTTTGCTGGTGCCAAATGTGCAAGTCAGCATCAACAATCATGAAGATATATAAAACAAAAAAACAACTTACAGACACACTGATCTCTTTAGCGCAATTTGTTTTGAGGATGCAACAGCAAATTCTGCCGCACTGACCAGCGGTGACCAGCGCTTTGAGTTCAGTAGTTGGGGGGGTGCCCAAAGAACGCAAAAAGAGCTTGGTATTTTCTGTCATTGTACTTGCTGAATTGCTTGGGCCACAGATGAACAAAATATTTATAAACCGTATATAGTAGCTGATATGAAAATGGACACATGCATCAGCGAGTTCACTTTGTCCCTCGATCCATTCCCAAATTCCACTCGCCCATCACCCGCACATGCCAGGTGCCGGGCAAGCTTTGAAAGTCATCGCCGGCGACATTGGAGCTGGAGTTACAGCCTCAAATTCAACACGCCATCTGATCGAGTTAATACAAAGGTTCCTGAAAAAGTGACAGTGATTTATCGCAGCCATGTGGGGCCAAAATGTGAAATATCACGCCATGAGAGTGCATGCAACAAAGATCATTAATATGGTTCCCGGAGCACAGGCCATAGCAGATGCACATGCTGTAAAAAATCACTTTGAACCATAATGTTCTTCAAACATTATTATGATATGATATATACTATATTTTTGTTTATGTTTCCTTCATTTGGTACAGTGTGACATTGGTCTTTTGGCCGCATGTCCTACCAGCCGCGTATCTATGAAGAGTCCCCTGAAGAGGAGCTTATTGATCTCCTATCTTGCCACCGGTCAGACCCTTGAAGGACATAGTTTTCACAAGCAAGTTCACAAGTATGAAATTGTTGAAAATCATTCTGGGATATTCTAGGAAGGTTCTTGTATTTTTATATGATTTATATGCGTCGATCATGATCATGAGCATCGTGATTATGACCGGGCATCCTGCCAGCGCAACATGCATCAGGAATCTGAGGGCCCATACGCATGGCGCCACACTACATCCAATCGATCGCCTGCCACCAGGAAAGGGTACTGGGTCAGTACGGCTTCCTCAGGTGTATCCTCTGTGGTGGATCTTGGGAGCAGGGCTGTCTATCCACATGGGCCCCTATGGTCACAATGCTTGTCCTCAGATATGCTTGCACGGACCAGCCTTCAAAACATAGTTGGCAAGGCAACATCGGCACCCATGAACTCCATCATTGATTTCCGGTTGCCATTGTTGAATGCAAATGCTGGTGGGGTACTTCGTCATGCTGTTAAAACTTTGGAGGCACTATTCAACAAGCATGCACCATTGACTTTCAAAATCGGGTATACACATGACCCGGTCTGGCGATGGGTCAACCGTTTATATGGCTACGACTCCTCCATTGACAACTTTGCAAACATGACCATTCTATATATCAGTGATGAACACCATAGTGCAGCCATGTTAGAAGCCTGTCTCATTGACAAGTATGGGAGTATCTTGGCTTTTTGTTTCAATATATTGTCAAACATTTTCCCCAACAGGTTTGTTTTTTGACGATGCTGTTCATGATTCAAAAGTCATGGAATCGAGTTTCAAACCCTTGAGCCCCACTGCTTCCCTAAGGTAGGCCAGGCTGCCGCAATGTTCGCTCTGGTGGGGACAATGTGAAACCACATGACGAGTTGGATGGAGTTCATATGTGTTATTGTGTCTTTAGGTCGTTTGCCGTCAAACCACATGGACGGATTGTAAGATCCAGAGCTGTTTGGAATTCTTCTTAGGTGCTTGCCTCAAATGAGGCTGTTACTACAATTCACTTTGGCGTTTTGCAACATGCACCCATTGTGTCAGTGTCATCTACGTATGAATGCATACGTGCGTGATACGCTATGTCGCCATACGTGTCTAGAAGCGGGCGCAATTTGCGAGAAGCGGCGCAAGTTCAAAAGTGGGCCACTCTGGCTTTCAAACCTCACAGTACAAGCATTTGGGTTGATGTTCAACAAACTATGTATGCACATAGCATCCATCACTTTAATGAGAGAGTTGCCACGGAAAGACTTGAACCCTTGCCTTCAAATTGCTCGTTCGTTCTTCCAAATCATGCAAATCTTTGATTCAAAGTTTGTTTGTCGCCAAGGCTTCTTCATACAGAGCGGCGATTAGGACTGCAAAAGGAGTGGTGGCCGATGTTGGTGAAGCCTCTGCTTCATCTTCCGTTGGGCTGGTGCAGTTGTCCAAATGTAGTGAGGCCCATTCTGAAAGAGATGGTTACAATGTGATTGGAAAACAGTTTGGGTTGACGCTTGATGTTCCCTTTACACCCATTCCCAAAGCTCCTGGTGTCACCTACCCTGGCCAACTTTGCCTGTTGAAGTTGAAGTCTTGGATGAATTTCATTGTGACAATGAATTGCGTACATTTGTTGTGCGGGCTTCAACAAAAAGACACTGCCAGGGAACGATCAATTCTGGAATCTTTTTGGAAACGGTTTAAAGCCGTAAGACCCAAACACTCTATGTGGAAACTTGTGGAGGAAGGAAAACTGAACCCTCAAAATACCATTCCATTGGTATGCCACGGCGATGAAGGGAGAGGCCGAAAACGGTCTGGTTTCTTAGTTATTTCCTGGTCGTCAGTGCTTGGCTTTGGCACTTTGAGTGCAAATGCGGCGAGGAAGGAACATCCCTACAGACTTCAACGTTTGAACTATGTTGGATCTACGTATCTGACTCGTATGGTGACCTCTGCGCTTCCCAAGATGGCTCGTGACGCCGCTGCTTTGAATGACATACTTCATGCAGTTGCACATGATGCCAATGAGATGATGCGAGAAGGAGTTGAGAACTCAAGAGGCGAGAAATACTTTGCTGTATGTATCAACATAGTGGGTGACTGGCAATGGTTGGCCAAATGTGGTTCCTTTCTTCGCAGCTGGAGTAACTGCAACAAACGGCCGTTGACTGAAAAATCCGAACCCAAAGGAATGTGCCACCTATGCTTAGCAGACCAGGTTGGAGTTCCATGGGAGAACTACAAAGTCTACGATGTTGAGAAGAAGATTTTCCCCGCTTGGTACCCAACTATGTACTCTGTTGACCCGTGGGAAACAAAGCCCCCACTGAGCGCTATTCCATCAGTCCCTGGAGAGGAACCGGGTTTCTACGCCTTTGACCTGTTTCATTCATTCCATCTTGGGGTCGGTAAGACCCTTGCAGCAAGCTGCTTGGCTTTGGCCAGTGAATTGATGGTTGCAACCGCAGTGGACGTCAGGCTGGAAGAGCTTACGAACCTTTACCTGGTTTGGGCAGAGGAAAACAAGAAGTCTTTGTTTTTGACCACGTTTACAAGAGCGAACCTTGGCTGGATGGACACCTCATGCTTCCCCAACGGGCAATGGTCGAAGGGACACGTGACGACCTGTGTCCTTGAGTTCTTCTGTGACTTTGCCCAAAAACGAGACTTGACGGGCCATCCTTTGTTGAAGATGAGCCTGGAAGCTTGTTTGGAAATCAGTGAGTGCTTGAAAAACTTGTACGAAAACGACGTTTGGATTCACCAGAAGGAAGCGCTTCGCATCGCTCATCACGGAATGAGATTCTTGGAGCTGTACAAATGTCTTGCATTTGAGAGTTTTCACTCAGGCAGGGCCCTTTACGCAAACATGCCGAAAGCGCACTCACTGGACCATCTCTTTTTTGGCCTATACATGTCGGCCGTGTACAACAAGTGGTCCCTCAATCCATTGATTTTCTCAGTTCAAATGTTTGAAGATTTTATTGGACGCTGTTCAAGGGTGGCAAGACGGACAAGCCCACAACAAGTGGTGAAGCGCTCACTGGAAAGATGCTTGCAAGCCAGCTACAAGGCTTGGTATGAAGCGGGATATATCAAAGATTGAGATCGCGCGGGAAAAGATACATGTGCTTTTGGTGCGCATGGGTGTGCAGGATTCATATCATGTTTTTTTTACAAGAATGCTGGAGATGAACCATGACAAGAAAACACAGAAAAACAGAAACATCGTGTTTTCACTGAAACATCGTGTTTTCCATGAGGACATTGTGTTTCATCCAGGTACTGCGTTTTCATCAGTTTTTGGATCTCTAGGTCTATCTATCTATCTATCTACCTATCTATCTATCTATCTATCTAGGCAGGCAGACAGATAGACAGATAGAGATGAAGCGTCACAACGTACACATATAGTATGTATCAATCCATTGCTTTTTGCATCATATATAAGTATGAGCATTCGTGTTTTTTCTCCATAGCCGTTTGTTGCCACGTTTGATTGCCAGAGGTTGCCTTGAAAACGTGTTGTTTTGTCAGCAGGAAGGTGGCCCGCCTGAATACATCTTCTTTTCCGCCTCGCGGACATTGTTCAGCGCAGACATCGATGAGGACATGGGCGGGGCAAGTGCGAGAGTGCCGTCCTGCATCGAGACAGAGACTTGGATCATCGGATCGGATGGATCTCTGGAACCGTGGAAAACCTTGAAGATATTACAGAGATTTACAGAGACAACCGAGACAGTCAGGGCACATACGAACTAGTCCCTGAGGTCCTTGAGGCTGTGGTCAAAACATGAATTCGCCCAGGAAATGCTGAGTCCTGGAGCTCCCGGCTATGGCGACCCGATCTTCTCACCCATCCTCCACGCCCGCATGAGATCTGCATTGGTTTCTTTGGGCCAACCTCCGGGCACTTCTTGCGAAGGCGTCGCTCATCTCTGCAGCAGGCTTGGGGCTTGGGTGACCATTGTTCCTCGATGCCACCGTGAATGGTTGTTCAGCTTTGCAGGTCACGTTTGCACCCTGTCCACGCATGGTTAAGATATTTATCAGTCGTACTCACCCTTTGAACCGAAGCACCTCAAGCCTTGAGACATGCTAGCCGCTAGCCGCTGCTAGCCAAAAACCCAGTCAGCCTTGGCCTCATGAAACTCGCCATGATTTATGATGCTTTGCTTGTGCACAAACTCAAACTATATTCAAACTATCTCAAGCGGCGGGAGCATAGACTATATATATACACATACATATACATACTATGTCACTATGCATTAGAATAATTGCCATGTCCCGAAATCGTTTGGAAACTTCTGCTTTCACCATATCATGCGAAACCCAAATTTTGGATGGTGTCCAGTGGAGTATCGATTTTTTCTGGAGGCCCGACGCTCGGCTCCTCAGATTGCTGTGTGGCGACACCTGCGGCTGTACTGATCCCTTTTCTTCGCCATGGCACAAGGCCCTTTCTTTGGCCGTTGCGCGGCTTTGGTGGGAGATGTGTACCATGCTGGCCCAAGTTTCCAATGAATAAAACGACACGAAACACGATGTCAGTCAGCAGTTCTTTCAGATTTTCCATTCGGATGTTTGGCAGATTGGCAAACAGAGGCCTGAGGCCTGAGGCCTGGGATGGTGGGACTCCCTGGCAGGTGCCATCGCAAGGATGTTCCAACGGCTGCAACATAAGGACAGAGAACATCTTGGCCACACAGCCCTGTGAGGATCAGCCCAGAGGAGATGTTTGGAAGGAATTTCGGGATGGCTGCTCGATTGACCCTGCATGTCTGCACCCTCCAATGGCAACCCCGTGCTGGATGGAACTGGATGGGGCATCACTTGTGAACTAGATGCTGGAAGTGTTTGTTTGCTATTTGGCGTTTCGGGCCGCACGGTAAAACTATACAAAACTAAGATAAGCTAAGGGCAACGATGTTCCCCGCGTAGTTGGCAACTCCTGCCAACAACTCTCTGGTTGGGCAGTTCATATATGGGGATAATGGTTAGATGTTCCCATCCCACCAGATTTTAGGATATGCTGCAGCTTTGTCCGAGTTCTACGGCACGAATGTGAGCGAGGTCGTCATTTGGCCCATGGCCAGCGACATCTTGAGACAGCTGGAGGTGACCGGATGCAGCGGCCTAGGTGTGCCAGAGCTACAGGTGGAAATGATATCCCAGACGCCCTGGTGCCAGGGTCACGTTCCCTGGTTCAAAAAATGGGATCCACTTGGGAAGATTGGGGCTTTGAGCTCAGGGCATCAGGCCCTTTAATCTTAAAATCAAACATGCTTTTGTTTTTTGTCCCTCTCCCCCGGACGGACGGATGGACAGATCCAGCTATATATCTATGTATCAATGTATTTGTTTGTACAAGTTTGTATCTTTTTGTATCGCTTGGTAACTATCTTATTATTGTATCTTATTGTATTTTTGTATTTATTTGTATTTGTATCTATGCATATGTATCTTTTGTATCTATGTATCTACCTTTCCTATCCTACCTTGCCCTATCCTATCCTACCCTATCCTACTGTATCCTATCATGTCCTATCATGCCCTATCTATCGAATCGATCCAATCGATCTAATCATTCCATCCAATCGATCTCATCCATCTAATCTATCTAACCTATCTAACCTATCTACTCTATCTACTCTATCTAATCTATCTAATCCAATCACATCTAATCCATCTAGCTATTTACCTTTCGTATCTCCCTTGGTGAAAAAATATGAATGTAGAGGGATGGGTGTATCTTCTGTGCCGCTTTATTAGTCAATGGTTCCCGAGAGTTGCCCTGTATCTGTGGCGCTCTGAGGACCGCTTATTTCGCCCATTGGCATGGCTTTGTCCCAGGTCTTGTGGCTGTGTTGAGCATCCCTCGTCCCATTGCCCGGTGAATTGCAAAGCAAACGCCAGCGGCTGACTTCGCTGTCTCTGTTTGGGCTGTCACACGGGGGATGATCCTGTTGGGCCATGTTGCCAACGTGTACATATCATTTGGGTGGCCTCTTGCGCGGGAGGGTGATCTTCAAAAGCAACCCAGTTCCGGCATATGCCACATTTAAATCGTAGAAGCCAGCTGAGCGGCTAAGCTGCCCCTGGCCATTGTTGCTTGTGTTTGGCCCCCCCGTTCCTCCCCACACTTCCCCATCTCTCCTGTCACTTATGTTTCGTAGGAACTCATGTGAAGCCTCATCTGCGTGGGGTGCAAACAAGTCCGATCCTGTGGTCTGGGGTTCCATATTTTGCGTCAGGTGACCATAATGTTCTGAAACTGCTGGGCCCATGTTTTGTTCCTGGGTCATCCACGACACAAACGGACTTCTTTCCTAATGCCGAGGAGCGTTGGCTTGCGGATCATCCCCAACTCTTTGGTGACACAGGCGAAAAGGGTGGAGTGAAAAGTGGTCTCTTTTCATGTTTCTTCAGGTACTTCCAAATCATTCCGGCATGTAGAAGACTCTGGCCGCGAGGAATGGGGGAAGCAGTCCAAACTTGACACCTTTCACCTGCCAGGTTGCTGCCAAAACAGAGCTGCCTGTGATGCTGGTGGTGCTTGTGGGGTATGTGTGGGGGCCCAGATGGCCCAGCTCTTGGCAGGAAATCATGGGCCTTCAACTGATGAAATGCTGGACAAAGAAAAACACCCTTAGATTCCTGCGACAACTTGGTGATCGTCCATTTCCAGAGTCCTTCAGCTTGACAATCATATGTGGTTCATTGTGGTTCTAAGGTAATCCTACTTTTGAAGTTTGTTGCAGCGGCGTCATAAAAGGAACCAAAAGCCCCGGTGATGTGAACGCCGCCATTCTGGGCTCAAGCTGAAAGGTTGGGACATGTCCATGTTGGGACAAATGGGAGCAAGGTGGTCAATTTGGTTCTCACCAAATCAATCCGAACCCTTTCTGTGAAGAACAGCCGGGTGGCATCTGTTTATTTCACATCCATGTGCTTGAAATATCTTGAAATGCTGATGGCGAATCTGCAGCTGGGACCTTTTGTGACTGCAGAGGTGGCAAGAACATTCCTGGTATTTTGAGAAATTTTCCCTTTGTGGCGCTTTTGTCAGATAGAAGTCTACTGTGGGTTGAGACTGCAACGCAGCTGAGCGGATGGAAATCAAAGAGAAGCAGATCCAGTAACGTGACATCTAGATAAATATATGAATATATGAAATACTTGGCTTCATAGTCCATAGCCTAATTTTTCACATTTTTCACCCACGCGCAGCGCATGTCGGCGATGTGGGGCTTTGGCCCTGATGCAGCAGTCGCACCAGCAGTGGCACCCAGCAAGGTGATTCGGAAATGGGTCAAAATTGGAGTACTGCTATAAAAATCTATAAAATGGGGTTGTCTTAAGAATATCCTGTGATACTCCAGATATCTCCAGATGGCAATCATATGCAACATGATATTCCAAACTGGGCTAGTGAATCATGCAAGTATATCATGAGTCAATGCCGAAAAAACGATATGAAGTTCTTGTCCATACCTATTTAGTAGTCCCAAGCTGGCAGCCAAGTGGTGTGAAGGATTTCGTTGTTTCTCTGCCGCAGGACCCTGCTTGGGCGCAGGTGGCCAGTAAGGCTTGCCCAGTGCAGATCAAAGGTGCGACAGGGCAGTTGCTTGGCGGGATGAGCAGGGTCCGTATGGCAGGGAACAGAACGACCGCAGTGGTGACTCGAGGTTTGGTGATCAGTGGACGAATGGGAGATATGATGTAGAAGTAACACACCCAGATGCTTGGCTCAATCCTGGCAGTGAAACATGCGAGGGGCATGATGATTCTGCACAGCTGGTTGGACAGCTGGTTCATGCCAGTGCACCAAAAAAGCCTTGCCAACCCGAAATCTTCTGAAATCTTCTCCTGGGCGGCGGGATGCACGAGTGTTGTAAAGTGTTGTATTGATTTCGGTTTCATATGGTTTCATAGGGTCCGAGACTCATTTAAGCCGACTTTTTTACTCATTATAAGCCGACATTTTGTATGTTGACTTCAGAGTTAACTCCATGGGGTACAGACCTTTAGGTTAACACTTGGGGGCACTTGGGGTGGGTTTAGGGGACACTTGGGGACACTTGGGGACACTTGGGGTGGGAGTAGGGGACACTTGGGGACACTTGGGGTGGGCTTAGGGAACCAACTCCAAGGGATACAGCCCTTTAGGTTAACACTTGGGGACACTTGGGGACACTTGGGGACACTTGGGGTGGGTTTTGGGGACACTTGGGGACACTTGGGGTGGGCTTAGGGAACCAACTCCAAGGGATACGGACACTTGGGGTGGGTTTAGGGGACACTTGGGGACACTTGGGGACACTTGGGGTGGGTTTAGGGGACACTTGGGGACACTTGGGGTAGGCCTAGGGAACCAACTCCAAGGGATACAGCCCTTTAGCTTAACACTTGCGGACGCTTAGGGGGACACTTGGGGACACTTGGGGTGTTCCATGCATGACGTTGTCACATCTTCTTCAAGTCCCTTGAATGATGTTCCTGGTATTTTGCAACATCTTCGTCAAGTAGCTTGCAATACATTCCTGATACGTTGCAACATCTTCCTACTTGTAAGTAAATTGCACGACCTTCCTGGTACATGTGTCACCTCGTCTTACAGTAACTTGCCAGATGTTCCTGATACGTTGTAGCATCTTCTTCAAATGACTTGAAACACGTTCCTGATACATTGCGACATCTTCTGCGCGACACTTCCGACATGTTCCACGCATGACGTTGTCACATCTTCTTCAAGTCCCTTGAATGATGTCTTGCTATTTTGCAACATCTTCGTCAAGTAGCTTGCAATACATTCCTGATACGTTGCAACATCTATCTTCCTACTTGTAAGTAAATTGCACGACCTTCCTGATACATGTGTCACCTCGTCTTACAGTAACTTGCCAGACGGTACTGATACGTTGAAGCAACTTCTTCAAGTGAGTTCAAACATGTTCCTGATACATTGCGACATATTCCTGATACGTTGAAACATCTTCTGAAAAGTGACATGCAATTCATATGATCGAATCAAAATGTCCTGCTCATCATCTCTGTCACACCTGTTGCAGTCATATTCAAAGACTTCTATGTCACTTTCTATTGGTGCTGCCATCATATTTCACAAACGTAGGCGTAAGCGAGTAAAAACGTAGGCTTAAGCGAGGTACTGACCGTTTCATAGCAAAACAACTCGACTATGTATTATACATTATTATACTATAATATACTATATTAATCTATATCATACTATATTAATCTACATCATACCATGCATTACAATGCCATGATATGCCTGGCATCATGTTTGATGGATTCGGATGCCCAGGAGATGGCGCCAGTGTACGTGCTGAGAGGGGGGCCTTTTGAGCGCTTTCTCTATTTTGATTCAGAGCACTACTGGAGAGTTGGAAGCTGTGAGTACAAAGATCAGGACACATTTGGATCATTTGGATTCATTTGGCATATTTGGCGAATGTGATCAGTCATTTGATATCATTTGATCATATTCGATGGACTTGCAGGCTTGACATTGATTGGATGATGGATGAATGAAGTATATTTGCCCACACACGCGCACGCACACACGCACACACACACATGCACACACACACACACGCGCGCACACACACACACACGCACATAAAAAATAAAATAGTATAATATAATTATGTATACAATATACATAGACGCACCGAGACACCATTATGCACCTTATGTGGAAATGTGGTTTGGTTGAAGATATCGACGTTGGCCCGTCCAATTTTGCGGTTACAATGGTCTTAATGAAGGCTTCCATGCGGATGGGTGTGCGGGATACCCATGGGCACCAAAATTGCTACTTTCAGATGTGAAAGCATGATATGGTGGATTTGCGGGCCTTTCATTTTCAAACACATGATGCTATATAGACCATGCCTTCCCAAGATTTTTTGGTACTTGGTACAGTCATTTCGATATTTCCACATTTTATGTGTTTGTTTCCGGCAGGAGAAAGCTGCCGCAGGCTCCATGCGCAGTGCAGATCCAGTGCCTTGGTGGACTTAGACTGGCTTGGGTTGGAGATGTTCGACACATTTCGAACCGGTTTAAGTATGGCTTTGGGTGAAAGTTTCATTTGCAGAGGCCTGGTGTTGATCATGATAAGTCTGATAAGTTAAACATCCGAACATTCAATGATGGACCATGTTAATGTCAGGAACCTGATATCCAGCAGTTTCACCGCCAATATTGAGATCCTGTCGACATGGTCCATCTGCACATGTAGCCCCGGGCTTTTGAACAACGCCTTCTGAAGATAGGCATGGTATGGAATGCTTTGTTGAAGAGGCCGTATGGCCGTATGGGGGTCAAAATTGGATGACCCAAAATTGTTTGTTATTTTGTTCCTCATTTTTTTACCCCCAAACCCTAGACCTAGACCTAAACATGGCCTGAATAAGTATAGATAATGAAGTGAATTTTGTGGCCAGCATCCCCATCCCACGACCTGAGGTGCGCCCCGGCACCCTGCCGACGGCGGTGCACAGCTGGACGGTGCGAACAGGCTACGATGAATGGATGCTGCAGGCGGTGACGGTGGAAGGGCCCGGCCAAAACGGCTATGGCACACCGGCGCCAGCGCCAGCAGCTCAGTAGGCCACTGGACTTTTGATCACTGGACTCGCAGGACTCCAGTGCCAAAATCGGCGAAAAGTTGTTGCTGAGGGATGTCGCCCTCAGAATCGCAGGGTGATTCTATGTGATTATTATAGAAATTATAGATTTTTCTAGAGGTTTGCCCGTAAGCTGGCAAAGTGAACGCCGACTCATCAGGCTCAGAATTAGCAATGCAACGATAATATGGTTTAAGAATGTTTAAGACTGGTTTAAGGACAGCTTCATCCATTTTCATCCTATTGCCACTCCTGCAAGAGATGCGACCCTGCATCAGCAAAGATATGTCATGCTCACTAGCATGTTGGCAAACTGGCTGCTACTGCCTCGAAGTTTGTTATCCCCGACTGATCCTGGCCGCGGAACCTTGTACCCCCTTTCAATTTGAGGCTGACTTGTGATGAAGGCCAGTTCTCATAGTTCTCCATTGCTGTATTTTGTTGCGACCAGGCATTTTTACACATCAGCATCTTGGTTCAAGACCCGCGGTCGCATCTTGTGCTAACACACTTGTCTGAAACTCCCGTGTCCAAGATGATCCTTGGCTGCAGTCAGGCTCAGATACCGTAGCTCCAGCATTTCCAACATGGTTTTCTACCTGCCAGTCCGCAGGTCATTCTCTTTTCTGTGTATGCACACACTGTCACAAGAGAGAGTGAGAGAGAGGCATAGAAACAATGTATGATGGCACTAGAATTTATAGAATTATGACATCAGCAGGCTCTAGGATGGAGGGTTTTCAACCGTTTTCTTTTGATATGATCCAGATTTGATTTGTTGTTATGATTTGTTTGTGGCCTGGTTTTGCAGTTATGATTATGATATGGTTTGAGTCTATATAAAAGTTTTAGCGATGAATTTTATGTGGGTCAACACACTGTGTTTTCCGTTTCTCTTTTGAGGTTTTGTTGGGTTTTGTTGAAAACGTTTTGAGCACATGTCAGAATCCTGTCGGCATGATATAAAATCGTATCAAAACCATATCAAAATCATATCAAAACCATAGAAACCTTGAGAAATCGACCAAAAGCTTGCCCCGTGTTGTTTATTTCTGTTTCCTTTCTTCAAGCAAACCCACCGGAACCCCCAAACAAATTAAAACCACATCAAATTCATATCATAAGCATATCAAGTCAAAATCGTATCAAACCACATCAAAATCATAGAAATCTTGGGGAAATTTACCAAAACACTTTTTTCTAGCATTTTCTAGCCAACCCACCGGAAACCCTAAAAAATCTTGAAACCATATCAAAATCACATTGGAACCATATCAAAATCGTATCAAAATCTTCTCAAACCATATCAAAATTACATTCAAAAAACACATATCTACTAAAACCATAAAAACCTATAAAAACCCTCGAGAAATCGACCACTGACCCCGAAAAAAACCGCTGTGTTCCCAAACCATATCAAAATCATATCCAAAACCATATCTAAATCGTAACCCAGATTACATCCAAATCATAGCAAAACCATATCCAAATCATAACCCCAAATTTTTAAAACGTATCAAAAACATATCTAAAAAATCTAGCAAAACCATAAATCAAAAATCATCTTGAATTTGGCTTCCTCGGGATTTTGATGTTATAGGTATAGAATGTATGCAGAGTATAAAATATGTAGAATGTATAGATTGACACAACCAGTAGCAACGGATACTGGCAGAAGCAAAAGCAGTGGGTTACCCAACAAAATGAGCACCACACTCAAAAAACACTGACTTCTTTTTGCAGATTTATATTGTCATCACTCTTTAACAGATGCTAGCAGGGTTCCCATAAAGGATCAATACAAGATCCCTGTTCAGCTTGGTTGAACCCCGTGCTTTTTGAGTTTGTCATCTCAGGGGCAAGATCTTTATCATTATATAATCATTTCAGATACCCACTGACTCAACACTTTACCTTTTTTTCTCTGTTCTTTTCTGGGGAAAGTGAAATGGACGGCCACTTGCCTTGGATCTTCCATTTTATATATCATTATAGTCTAGTCTTAGTGTTCCCCTACATTTTCAGCAGCATTTTGTTCACATACTCGTTTGGGGCTCAAAGTCCAGCAAAAAAATGATTTCAGACGTTATTTATCCTTATCTATCAACATCAGGAGCCATTTGTCTAACAGGGTGCTCTTTTTTCTGTCCTGGGGGTCGCTACTTTCCAAGAATGGCTTTTTGGGGGGAACCCGATGCCCTTCGATCCCTTGATCGGTTTTTGAAAATATCTTTCTGCCATATTGTTTTGATTGATGGTTAACCCCAACGTATTTCCAAACTTAAGCATCCCAACATTCCAGCTACATCTTGTTATCCACATTATTCCCAGAATTTGTTGATCAATGTTGGTTATACTATGTTATATATATAATTATATATATATATCATTATATATCACCATTTGGGTTAAAACCCTATTTCTACTGTTAATCATGAGAATTTTCGCTGTGACATTCTTCAGGTTTCATCCCTAAAATCCATTAAAATTCCCTATGCCAATAGTAATCCAAAAAAAAGATCGAACAGTATTTCCAGGATGGCGATGGAGAGAGAGAGAGAGAGAGAGAAAGAGAGATAGATAGTATTTCCAGGATGGTACTTCCATGATGTTTTTACCGCACAATTTCCAACTTACAAAATCGGCATCTTCAGTTGGTCTGACCACCATTTCCAACTGCGAACTTCATCCGCGGTGCTCAGGAAGTCTTTCCTGTTCATCTCCCTTCTGGCCATGGTGGCCGCCCAGGATGCCGTGGTGGAGGAAGCGGCCCCCGCCGAGGCCCCCGCCGAGGCCCCGGCCGTGGCGCCTGTAGCGCCGCCGGCGCCGCCGGTGGCGGCAGCAGTGCCGGCAAAGCACGAACCGTCAGGATGGGATGGGGCTGCGACGACCTCACAGTAGATGATTTTAGATTAATTTTAGACTAATTTGGATGGAGACTCACCCTGAAATCCTACTGGCTTATTTTTGGTCGGGACTTTGAGACATATTCTATTTTGGCCCAGATTCGCAGCAAAGTGGTAAAAATTGATTGAATTGGTGATGAGTCGAACCAGAATCCTGACTTTTTTGGGGGGTCACTGTATGTAAACTCAGTAGACTCATCCTTGAAGGGACAGGCCACGCCTCGTGAGGAGATGAGATCATGGCGCAACACCGTGGCTTGTTTACAACTCCGACTTCTTGAACCAGTTGAAGCTACAAAGATCATCAAAGATCAAAAAAGGGATGCAGCTGTGACCGGCTGTGACCTTAGCTTGTCATGCTGTAGATCTGTGGGGTGATCGAGGTCAGCAGGCCTTGGCTACCTTGGCTTCAGCAGGCACTGGCTCACTGGACTCACTGGACAAAGGGAACACATGGTACTGGGAGCAGTGTTGACATCTCTGGTTGGTTTGAAGTATGTCGTATTTTCTATTGTTTAATTGTTTGTCTTTGCTTCTAATGACAATTGATGATGATTCGGGGGGTTGACCTACCCAAGCAGTGATTATTCTGCAAGGATGTTGTTCCAGATTCTCTCCTGCACTTCTCATCCCCATGAATCGCCGCAGTCATGCGAAGGCACAGTTTTACCTAGTCAGTTGTTTGAGGAATCGTGTTGGAACAGAATTGGACAGAATTGAATAGAATGGAACATGATAGAACGATATTGAAATGCAAGGAAGTCTAAAAGCTGAGTTCTCTATCAAGGTCAGCTGGCCGGTTTTTTAGGGGGAGGCAGCGCAGCTGCATCATGGGAAAACCGCTGCAACCAGCTCAGCTTGTGGATATGATTTAGGAATATTTAGGAAGACTGGGTAGTTTTACACGTGTTTTACACGTTCCATCATTTTACATCATTTCCACGTGTGCCCACCCTGAATGATGACCTCTGAAAGTGCCCCGGTTTCAGTTGCTGGTCGCCTCCACCAGGTTTGAGTGCGAAGCAGGGTGCCTGGCTCTATGGAGATTATATCAATAATGTTGACGGCGTCACCACCGCCATTGCCTGCGCACAGGCCTGTGTGGCAGATACCAAGTGTTTCTCGGCAAAGCGAGCATAGGAAACTATCACCGACTACAGATTTAGATAGATTTTGGTCATTCTGAGTTCTTTTGAGGTAGAGCATTTTGGCACATCATGGGGCAAACTACAGTATCCATACTGGGCTGTAGAATTACTTTGACCCAAACCGATATCCGAAATATCATGAAATATCCATGATCAGCTTCCAGCTTCCAGAGTGATTCCAGTCTCATCCGTGCTAGTCCTGTTCCATCTATGGTCTGAATCCAGGAGCTATGAAGTGGTAGCAACTGCAGGGCTATAGTAGGGTTGCCTTGTACCGAAGATGGTTCAAGTGAGCAGTTGACAGCAGACCCCCCAAAAGATTCCCAAAAGCGAGTTAAACATGTCGTTCCCCGTTTTTGCGACGCTGAGCAGATGCGTTTAGCCAAGGCTACCATTGGAACTTCAAGTTTGACAGTCAGCGGTGCGACCTCAAGGCTGAGTATCTCGGCAGCGAAACTTCCAGCCCCCGTGGGGCCCCTGACAACTCAGATGAACTAGGCTGGCAAGATGATGTTCCGGTTGGAAGCGGCAATTCTTCTGCTCCATGTTGGATTTCGATGGATTTCGTACTTACGAAGTTGCGAGTTTTGCACTTAACAGGTTGGGGAATTTGGGGCGGGATGGCTATCAAGAATCTCAAGATACCTGGTGCACAGGTACACGTGCGCACATGCAGACATATACATATAATTACATATATACATATATTTAATATAATATAGTATATATATATATATATAATAACACATAACATAATATAATACCAGTAGTACCCGCACGAGGCGGGGCGGAAGTTGCCTTAAAGATATATATAAGACCTTTCTCATCTATAGAACTTGCATGCGCCGTGCGCCAGCCAAGCCCGTGCGTGCATGCATTCTTCGAAAGTGGTGTCCTGTTTCACATGTCACATTTGAAGCTCCACTTCGCACTTCACGCTTCACACTCCACACTTCACACTCCACACTCCACACTACACACTTCACACTGCACAATTCCCACTGCACACTCCACACTTCACACTTCACACTCCACACTTCACACTTCACAGTCCACACTTCACACTTCACACTCCACACTTCACACTTCACAGTCCACACTTCACACTTCACACTCCACACTTCACACTTCACAGTCCACACTTCACACTTCACAGTCCACACTTCACACTGCACTCTTCACGCCCCACGCTTCACACTGCACCCTTCACACTCCACACTTCATCTCATCTGAGCTCTTCTCACCTTATCCCAGCTCATCTCTTGTCATCTCATCTCTTCTCATATGTCATCTAAGCTTTCATGAATCACTTCCCAGCACTACTACTAAGGAACTTGCATGCGCCGTGCGCCAGCCAGGCCCGTGCGTGCGTGCTTTGTGCGAAGCTGTTGCAGTGTTGCTGTCCAAGAACATGACCTGCGCGCGACCCCGGTACAATGCAAACACTTTCCTCACGCTCCACACTTCACACTTGCACTTCATCTCAACTCATCTCATCTGAGCTCTTCTCATTTCATTCCATGTCTTCCCATATGTCAGCTAAGTTCTTCTTGGCTATTTTCATGTCAAGTACTTCCCAGTACTGATGTCTACTACAAAAGCTTGCAAAAACCACTTCCCAGTACTGTACTACTTTGTACTACAAAGCTTGCACAAAACTCGTTCCAGTACTAGTTACTACTTTGTACTACAAAGCTTGCACAAAACACTTCCCAGTACTACTTTGTACTACAAAGCTTGCACAAAGCACTCCCCAGTACTACTTTGTACTACAAAGCTTGCACAAAGCACTTCCCAGTACTACTGTGTACTAAAAAGCTTGCACAAATTATTTCCCAGTACTAGTTTGTACTACAAAGCTTGCGCAAAACACGTTCCAGTACTACTTTGTACTACAAAGCATGCACAAAGCACTTCCCAGTACTACTGTACTACAAAGCTTGCACAAACTACTTCCCAGTACTACTTTGTACTACAAAGCTTGCACAAAACACGGTCCAGTATTACTTTGTACTACAAAGCTTGCACAAAACACTTCCCAGTACTACTTTGTACTGCAAAGCTTGCACAAGCACTTCCCAGTACTACTGTGTACTACAAAGCTTGCACAAACTACTTCCAAGTACTACTGTGACCAAGCAACCTTGACGCAGCCATTACAATGCGATCTGCAGAGACTGAGTTGCAAAACGCAATAGAACTACGCGCAACGGTGTCGGAAATTGCAGCTCCAAAACCGGATCTCGACACCAAAGCAGAAAAAAGACGATTTCGAAGCACTTTTTAAAAGGATTTTTAAAAGGAAAATTACTAGCGCCAAAATTGCAAAAATCTGCTGGCAAATGATTATCGCAGCCTGGATGCAGCCACTCCAATACGATTTACAATCTTAAGCTGCAAAAGACAATAGTATTACGCATGCAGCCGCGGCATCAAGCAACCTTGACGCAGCCATTCCAATGCGATCTGCAACCACGGCTTCAAGAAACGCGTAGCATTACGCACACAGGAACAACCATTGTTGCAAAACACATACAAGGAACCAAACGACCGCAGCCGCACCCGCCACACACACGAGGTACCTTTCATCGCCGCCTGCAGCCACTTTACACGGAAAAACACAAGGTTTCGTGCTCCGGCTTCCTCCCCAAAAGCCCATGCAACATTCATGCAGCCATTCCAATGCGATCTGCAACCACAGCTTCAAGAAACGCATAGCACTACCCACACAGGAACAACCATTGTTGCAAAACACATATATAGAAGGAATCAAACGACCGCAGCCGCACCCGCCGCACACACGAGGTACCTTTCATCGCCGCCTGCAGCCACTTTACACGGAAAAACACAAGGTTTCGTGCTCCGGCTTCCTCCCCAAAACAAAGCCCATGCAACATTCATGCAGCCATTCCAATGCGATGTGCAACCACAAATTCAAGAAACGCATAGAACAACGCACACAGCTTCTACGCACACAGCTTCAAGAACTACGTCACCACTTCCCATCGTCACCACCTCCCTTCGTCACCACTTCCCCTCCTCACCACTTCCCTTCGTCACCACTTCCCTTCCTCACCACTTCCCATCGTCCCCGCCTCCCTTCGTCACCACTTCCCCTCCTCACCACTTCCCTTCGTCACCACTTCCCTTCCTCACCACTTCCCTTCGTCACCACTTCCCTTCCTCACCACTTCCCATCGTCCCCGCCTCCCTTCCTCACCACTCCCTTTCATGACATGTCTGATCCAAACCCCTCTATGAAATAGCGAGCGTCATGGCCCTGCATAAAACGTTTTATGTATGGTTTTTCTGTTGGTTGGACCCCCAATTTTATAGCCAAACCATGGTTTTGCATGATTCTGCTCAGAGTATGGGTTCAGGAGGGGGGGCGTCAGAGATCCCTATTTTATAGAGGATATGTTTGTTTCTTTAGCTTTGTTGTTTTTTCTTTGACAGGAAGGTACATGACATATAAATTTGGTGCATGTTTTTTTGAATTGAATACTTAGATATAGATCGTTGACCATGAGTGGATGGCAGTAAATGAAATTTATCCGAAGCCATTTGGCCAAGCAAAGGAGGCCGAGCAAATTTATCGAAATTTGATGAAGTCAGGAATTCAGAAACTCCACATGACATGGATCATACTGAATCATCATGAATCTATGTAACTCAAAGTTTGGAACATGTTTAAACCATGCTTTGAACCATGGAACGTGCTGAATGACACAAACCCACATGAACCTCACTCTTCTGCAAACTTTTACTTCCTCTACTATCCTTTCACATTTTTGCTACCATCCCTCTTGACGTCTGGCTTTGGGCAACCTCCTGCCACATCTTGCCACGACATGCCACGACTGGGCCCTTGCTGGCAGGGTGGGTCTCTATAAAATGGAGGGGTCTAACCCCCCGCCTGCACCATAAGCAGGGGTGGATCTCTATAAAATGGAGGGGTCTAACCTAACCCCCCCCTGCACCATAACACTGTTGCTCTGTGGGAGAGAGCAAAGGAATTGGATCAGCAGGAGAACCAGCACTCAGAAGCCATCTCAGCTCTCACTCTTCTGCAAAGTTCTACTTCCTCTACTATCCTTTCGCAATCTTTCACATCTTTGCTACTAATTGCTACCATCATTCTTTACTTCTTGGTTTGGGCAACCTCTTGCCACATCTTGCCACATCTTGCCACGACATGCCACGACTGGGCCCTTGCTGGCAGGTGGGTCTCTATAAAATGGAGGGGTCTAACCCCCCACCTGCACCATAAGCAGGGGTGGATCTCTATAAAATGGAGGGGTCTAACCCCCACCTGCACCATAACACTGTTGCTCTGTGGGAGAGAGCAGAGGAATTGGAGCAGCAGGGGTCACAACCAGCACTCAGAAGCCATCTCAGCTCTCACTCTTCTGCAAAGTTCTGCTTTCTCTGCTATCCTTTCACATCTTTGCTACCATCCCTCTTGACTTCTTGGTTTGGGCAACCTCCTGCCATATCTTGCCACATCTTGCCACGACTGGGCCCTTGCTGGCAGGGTGGGTCTCTATAAAATGGAAGGGTCTAACCCCCCACCTGCACCATAAGCAGGGGTGGATCTCTATAAAATGGGGGGTCTAACCCCCCACCTGCACCATAACACTGTTGCTCTGTGGGAGAGAGCAAAGGAATTGGATCAGCAGGGGTCAGAACCAGCGCTCCGAAGCCATCTCAGCTCTCACTGACTCTTCTGCAAAGTTCTACTTCCTCTACTATCCTTTCACAATCTTTCGCATCTTTGCTACTAATTGCTACCATCCTTCTTTACTTCTTGGTTTGGGAAACCTCCTGCCACATCTTGCCACGACATGCCACGACTGGGCCCTTGCTGGCAGGGGGGGTCTCTATAAAATGGAGGGGTCTAACCCCCCGCCTGCACCATAAGCAGGGGTGGATCTCTATAAAATGAAGGGTCTAACCCCCACCTGCACCATAACACTGTTGCTCTGTGGGAGAGAGCAAAGGAATTGGATCAGCAGGGGTCAGAACCAGCACTCAGAAGCCATCTCAGCTCTCACTCTTCTGCAAAGTTCTACTTCCTCTACTATCCTTTCGCAATCTTTCACATCTTTGCTACTAATTGCTACCATCATTCTTTACTTCTTGGTTTGGGCAACCTCTTGCCACATCTTGCCACATCTTGCCACGACATGCCACGACTGGGCCCTTGCTGGCAGGTGGATCTCTATAAAATGGAGGGGTCTAACCCCCCACCTGCACCATAAGCAGGGGTGGATCTCTATAAAATGGAGGGGTCTAACCCCCACCTGCACCATAACACTGTTGCTCTGTGGGAGAGAGCAGAGGAATTGGAGCAGCAGGGGTCACAACCAGCACTCAGAAGCCATCTCAGCTCTCACTCTTCTGCAAAGTTCTGCTTTCTCTGCTATCCTTTCACATCTTTGCTACCATCCCTCTTGACTTCTTGGTTTGGGCAACCTCCTGCCATATCTTGCCACATCTTGCCACGACTGGGCCCTTGCTGGCAGGGTGGGCCTCTATAAAATGGAGGGGTCTAACCCCCCACCTGCACCATAAGCAGGGGTGGATCTCTATAAAATGGGGGGTCTAACCCCCCACCTGCACCATAACACTGTTGCTCTGTGGGAGAGAGCAAAGGAATTGGAGCAGCAGGGGTCAGAACCAGCGCTCCGAAGCCATCTCAGCTCTCACTGACTCTTCTGCAAAGTTCTACTTCCTCTACTATCCTTTCACAATCTTTCACATCTTTGCTACTAATTGCTACCATCCTTCTTTACTTCTTGGTTTGGGAAACCTCCTGCCACATCTTGCCACGACATGCCACGACTGGGCCCTTGCTGGCAGGGTGGGTCTCTATAAAATGGAGGGGTCTAAACCCCCGCCTGCACCATAAGCAGGGGTGGATCTCTATAAAATGGGGGGTCTAACCCCCCACCTGCACCATAACACTGTTGCTCTGTGCGAGAGAGCAAAGGAATTGGAGCAGCTGGGGTCAGAACCAACGCTCCGAAGCCATCTCAGCTCTCACTGACTCTTCTGCAAGGTTCTACTTCCTCTACTATCCTTTCATAATCTTTCACATCTTTGCTACCAATTTGCTACCATCCCTCTTGACTTCTTGGTTTGGACAACCTCCTGCCACATCTTGCCACGACATGCCACGACTGGGCCCTTGCTGGCAAGGTGGATCTCTATAAAATGGAGGGGTCTAACCCCCCACCTGCACCATAACGCTGGTGCTCTGTGGGAGAGAGCAGAGGAATTGGAGCAGCAGGGGTCACAACCAGCAATGAGAAGCCATCTCAGCTCTCACTCTTCGGCAACGTTCTGCTTTCTCTGCACTTCTTGGTTTGGGCAACCTCCTGCCACATCTTGCCACGACATGCCACGACTGGGCCCTTGCTGGCAGGGTGGGTCTCTATAAAATGGAGGGGTCTAACCCCCCACCTGCACCATAAGCAGGGATGGATCTCTATAAAATGGAGGGGTCTAACCCCCCACCTGCGCCATAACACTGTTGCTGTGTGGCAGAGAGCAGAGGATTTGGATCAGCAGGGGTCAGAACCAACGCTCCGAAGCCATCTCAGCTCTCACTCTTCTGCAAAGTTCTACTTCCTCTACTGGTTTGGGAAACCTCCTGCCACATCTTGCCACGACATGCCACGACTGGGCCCTTGCTGGCAGGGTGGGCCTCTATAAAATGGAGGGGTCTAACCCCCCACCTGCACCATAAGCAGGGGTGGATCTCTATAAAATGGGGGGTCTAACCCCCCACCTGCACCATAACACTGTTGCTCTGTGGGAGAGAGCAAAGGAATTGGAGCAGCAGGGGTCAGAACCAACGCTCCGAAGCCATCTCAGCTCTCACTGACTCTTCTGCAAGGTTCTACTTCCTCTACCATCCTTTCACAATCTTTCACATCTTTGCTACCAATTTGCTACCATCCCTCTTGACTTCTTGGTTTGGACAACCTCCTGCCACATCTTGCCACGACATGCCACGACTGGGCCCTTGCTGGCAGGGTGGATCTCTATAAAATGGAGGGGTCTAACCCCCCACCTGCACCATGACACTGTTGCTCTGTGGGAGAGAGCAGAGGAATTGGAGCAGCAGGGGTCAGAACCAGCACTCAGAAGCCATCTCAGCTCTCACTCTTCTGCAAAGTTCTGCTTTCTTTGCTATCCTTTCACATCTTTGCTACCATCCCTCTTGACTTCTTGGTTTGGGCAACCTCCTGCCATATCTTGCCACATCTTGCCATGACTGGGCCCTTGCTGCATACTACCGGAGCCTGTGTCTTGTTTGTTGGCAATAGAATGATCTTCCGGAGGTCCGACGTTGCGTCGTACGGCCGGCAATTTTGATATCTCCCACAGACCTTAACTCAGACCGGGCCGAATAGGCCAAAGGCTGTGGGGAAAACAATCTAGTTCCCCTTCTACCAATTTCATCCAATTTCTATCCTTGCATGTCCTTTCCATCCCTGTCTTCTATATTCTTCATAACTTTACACCTGCAACATATTTTGGATCATTTGAAACTATTTGAGATAAATGTTCTCATTTTGTTTGTGGTGAACTGCACTGTTTTTCAAAATATAACACCCAGATTGGGGGGGGTCAGAGCTCCTAATTTCATAGACATCATGATTTGTATGGTCAAAGTTTGGCAAGGTTAGTGGTTAGACCCCTTATTTTATAGACTTGGGGGTCCGACGTTGGTGCTCAGCAAATTATATGCACCCTAGGGGTCAATGACACCGTTTTATGTCTATAGAATAGCGGGCAAGACCCTCCCCCCCTGTTTGGAACATACATTTCATGACCACTTCCCTTCGTCACCACTTCCCTTCCTCACCACTTCCCTTCGTCACCACCTCCCATCGTCCCCACCTCCCTTCCTCACCACTCCGCTTCATCACCACATCATCACCACTTCCCTTCGTCACCACTTCCCTTCCTCACCACTTCCCATCGTCACCACCTCCCATCGTCACCACCTCCCTTCGTCACCACCCCGTGTCATAGCTTCTTATTCTATGTGATGTACCACCCTTTATCAAGGTCAATTCCATAGATTCTTAGTCTCTTGTTATGTATTGTTATGTATTGTCATTGTGATGTGATGTACCATCCTTCATCAAGGTCAATTCCACCGCTTCTTTTTCTTTTGTTATGTATTGTTATGTTATGTATTGTTACGTGACCTACCACCCTTCATCAAGGTCAATTCCATAGCTTCTTAGTCTCTTATGTATTGTTTTGCTCTGTTTTGTATTGTTATGTGATCTACCATCCTTCATCAAGGTCAATTCCACCGCTTCTTTTTCTTTTGTTATGTATTGTTATGTTATGTATTGTTATGTGACCTACCACCCTTCATCAAGGTCAATTCCATAGCTTCTTAGTCTCTTATGTATTGTTTTGCTCTGTTTTGTATTGTTATGTGATCTACCATCCTTCATCAAGGTCAATTCCACCGCTTCTTTTTCTTTTGTTATGTATTGTTATGTTATGTATTGTTAAATCACGTACCACCCTTCATCATTTCAAGTCTCAGACTTCTATTTGTCCGTAACACGGAAGTATTGCTTCCCAACTTCCTTTGATGATATGATGTGATATGATACAATATGATACAATACAATATCATATAATATCATATAATATCATATAATATCATATAATATCATATAATATCACATAATATAATATAATATAATAGAATAGGATAGAATATAATATAACATAGTATATTTAATTATATTTATATTTATACACACATATATATATAGCATATATAATCACATATATATATATATACATAGCATTGTCGTCTGTGTAGTTATGTATACAGATGTATTATATGAATATTATATGAATCCTGTTTACATTTGCTGCCTCTCTCAGGGTGAATTCCAGGCCCCGCGTGCGAATCCCAGGAATGGAGGCGTGAACGAGGACATTGCAGACTGGGTCACGGGCGATGTCCCCCGGCCAAAGAAGAACGATGAGATCTGAGACCGCGGATCCAAGGGTTGATCGAAGTGGAACTGATTGCTATTGGCATCAGAAAATCTGAGACACCCAGAAGTGTAATTCTAATATGAATTAATCTAATGGTGACGGATTTTGGAAAACATACATACAGCATCTTGCAGGTTTCAAGTTTGCTGTGGTGCCCGCAGATGCTGGAAGAAGCAGCTATGCAGAACGATCAACCTGCATCCCGAGGGAGCGCTGGACAGTTGCTTGGGGTTTGGCAGAGAAAGGAATCTCAAGGCTTGGAAACATGTTTATTGCCTCTTGCCTTCCACCAAGGCAAAACATGCACATGACATCCCAAAACATGCAAAGTCGTTGGCATGGACCAGAGCTGCTATCCCCTTGAGCACCCAGCCCATCCTCGAAGGGCTGACAACAGTTCAGTCGACGCAACATCGTGTCTGTCTATGTACTTGGAATGATTGAGACTGCAGGGTAAAAGACTGCGGAGCTCCATGGCTGCCATGTGCATTTTGAGACCACGTGAGACCAGTAATTGGGGTACCCCAATATTTGGGAACCCCAAATCCACCTAGCAAGGGTCACTCAGGAGATCCTGAGCATTCTTAATTCTTATATCCGTTTTGCAGGGTGTAACCGTCCAACCGAAAGCGAACCCTGGGGAACTCTTTGGGAATGCGCCATTCCTTTCCTAAGGTGATCTCTTTCTTTTTCCCAGATGAGCTCTGGGCATTCCACATCCTTGGCTGCGCCACAGGTGGGGCATCACCATGATGGATGCAAGGGTTGGTTCGATGTATGTAGGGGACCATCTAGGGGCGGAGGTTTAATGTGAATGGCGGGGGAGGGATTACAAGCATGCACAAACCAAAGTGAGATTGAGCCGTGCATCACTGAGGGATGGGCTTCGTGCGTCCCTGTGTAACTTTGCACTGCCAGGTGGTTGCGCCTTGGGAACACCGGGGGTGAATGGGCGATGGGAAAAGCAGAAAAGGTAACTTTTTTAGTGATTTCAGTGGGAAATTTTGTGGAAAACATGGAAAACCATGGTTTTGTGACTCCGCTCACCATCCTTCATCCAACCCAATGAATGTGAAGGATGCCACTGAGTTGCACAGGCTTTGTGTAACCGTGACATCGATGCGCTCACGAGACTCTCACAACGTTGTGGTGTGTGGGGCTGAGTTTGCCCGTTTTTACATGGGCAGATTGGTGAACGTGAGTGAGCAATGCAAGATGGGGATAGGTCCATGCCCTTGTACCTTTGAGACCACATGCACGGGGGGATGAGCATCAGCCGCATGTTAAAGTCAGTGATCCTTTTTTTCCTCCATTTTCTTCACGTGACCTGAAGCTTGGCCTGTGGGGCCATGGGACTCCCAGGCTGCTCGGACGCTGGCGGACATCTGTGGTTTCACACTGCCTGCTGTGCTCTACGATGCCACTGGTTGGGTGGGGGCCTCAGGCCCAAGGTATCCCAGGGCCAGGGATCCACCCTTGCAGCCCACGCTTTGTCCCCATTTTCTTCACCAAAGATGAAGTTGGATTCGTCTGAAACTAGGGGCACCCCCCAAACCCCATGGTTCATCATCATTTTCAAATTTCCCCGCGAAAGTTGCCATTTTATGTTGTTCTTGTCTTGAAATACCCAGATGACCAGCCAGTAACTTCAGGCTGGTGTAGCAGCCTTTGGCGGGTCGCTGGCATTCTTCTATTTGGTGCCCTGGGAGGGTCAGGGCGGCTTGCACCCCCCCGGGGACACGGCCCAGCAAACACGAAGAAGATGATCCTAACATGAATCTTCATGTAGTACAGCAGTACATACAGTCTCACAGCGCGGCAACTCAACTATTGGTAACTGCGAAATGTTTGAGGCTGAGGGCCATCATTTCAGGTGCCAGGTTTTCTGCGTTTGTTTTATGCAGGTACTGTCCTTGCAACTGCATTGGTGTCCCAGTGGAATGCCAACAAAATTTGAGGACAAGGCCGGGGCGGCGTGAATCCAGCCATTGATTGTGTTTGTGGCGGTGGCAGACTGAGGTGCCAGTCTCCAAGAAGATACGGTGGATCGACTGGGTCCTTTCTGGAGCATTTGCAGGGTGGCCTAAGCCTGAAAGATGCCGACGAATATTTGATGGTCAGTCACAACATGTCATACTCATAGACTCATAGAGAATAGTTATGACTTCATGGTCTTTACTCAGCCTCCAGATCACTATCATCACTTGATGCCTGTACGCGACATTGCTTCCTGAATAGCATAAACCCGAGAGAAACCCAGTGATGATCGCCCTTCCAGGGGTTGCGATGGGGACTGAATGGCGAACCACTAAGCCATGGGTCCTCAGTCTGAGGTGAGCACCGAATTGCAGTGGAACGTGTTCGGGGCTCGTTGATGCACGGGTTGGTAGTAGCTTGGTGCCTATAACATCCTATAACTATAACTCCATATAACACCTTTAGACCAAGTTGAATACAAAGACAGGATCCTGGACAACTTCCGCAAGCGTTGACTAATGTTTCCACTTCTCCAAGTTGTTTCGATCTCCATAGCCCAGCACAGCCCATTCTGAAAACGGGTCATCCAACTGGGTGGGCAGCGTCAGGTTGAACACCGCAGTGCCTGCCACTTTGATCACCAGCTACCAACTTCCCACCTATGCTGTTGGCGTGGCAATAGGACAGGTGACCCTGGGTCGTGGCAACATGAGGATCGAAGATCAGAATGAAGACTGACTAAATGAATCCAAATGAATCCCAATGAATCCAAATGAATCCAAATACCACCCTTGAAATTAACCATATTAGTATAGACATTGAACATACCTACTTTTTAGATCTTTTTAGCGGAAACTAGTTTTCCGACCCCCAACTCATGGCAAGGACCATGTTAATTTACTGGAGGGTATATGAATCCAAATGAATCTAAACAAATTGAACCTGGAAGATTCCGAAGGAGTCACAAAGCTGCACCTATCTCGCAACAGAGCCACACATGTATATATATATATATATCCCTCTATATATATATGTATATGTATGTGTATATATATATATATTTGTATATATATATATATATATTTGCATATATATATATTATGCATGATGTATACTTCATCAAGTTTTTTCCCATCCGCCCTGTCAGAACAAAGCAACATGTCTCCTTGCGGATCAGAGTTGAGATTCCGAGGGCTATTTCACGTGGCCTGCGTGGTGGATCGAATTTATTGGTCGTTTTACATTAGCATTCCTTTGAAGGTTACGCATATGAGTTGTGGTCCACGACCCAAATAGAAACTTTCTAAGTAGAAACTTCTTTGGTAGGAGTCTACGGGGAAAGGGCGTTGAAAAGCCCAAGAGGAAAACCTTTTGTCCTGGCGGTGTATGAATATACTGTGTATAATTGTGTATATATACATAATTATATATATATACATATATATATATTATGTCATAATAACAGTGGCAGTCTTTGGCACTTTTGATGTTGATCCCGCTTTCGTGATAATTAGCATTCTTATCGCACGAATATATTCTGGATAAATCCCATTGAGACGTCACTGTAGAGGATGCTTAGTAGGGAATCATCCCAAATATTGCAGGTTACTGCAGGAATCATTATAATTTGTTTACATAAATACATATGCACACACACACACAATTTATTTTTATATTTTAAATATCACTATATATATATATATTATACACATATTATACAGAACGCGACATAATATGACAAAGTATCATTTGATATGATGCGACATGCATGGCCCCCTTGATATCCGTCTGTACTGGTAAATACATGCAAACGTGTTCTCAAGCTGTGGGCATGAAAATCGATCACACACTCAGATTGTGGGATTTAATCAAACGTGGATATTACATGATGCTATCTATCTATCTATAATATATATATATATGTGTAAGGGATACTAACACCTGATGACATATTAACAGCCCTTGTTGGTTGAGGTGGTCAAACCAGTCCCTTGCCAGAAATGGGTAGCCGAAGCCATCCCCAAATAGGGCTTATCATTTGTTTTGCAATCTGTTTGCCCTAGGTTCAATTTTTTACGGATGTGCATGCAATTTGAATGTCGAAAGAATCGCTTCCTCAAGACTCTTGAAAAACTATACATCCCCAATTCTCCCTCTCTCGCTATATTGATGTATATGCTTTGTTTATCACTTACTGTATTGGTTTCAATCATTGTAATTTGACCCTTATTTTGTTACGGGGCCCTTGTGGACGACCTTGAGCCTTGAAGTGTCAACGCAGGATCCGGTGCATTGGTTTCCATGTTCTACCTGCTGTCCCTCCCGGCCTTGCCAAGGCGCAGTGTTCGAAGGGTCTGTCGTGGACATGCTGCATGAGATTGGGTTGAATGCCAGCAACTTCCCCCCACATATAGATATATATATATATATAAATATATCAACGCGTTTGCTATCCAGGTCCGCGTATGTATGTATATATATATACATGTATACACACACACACACACATATATATATATACATACAAATGGTATGCAAATGGTAACCCCCGAAAAGATAGCAAAGTATTCTATCACTATCTCACTAAGGATTTTACGGTTCTACTTTTTCGCGGTTGACAGGTTGATCAACCCACCCAGACCAATGAACCTGCTGATGAGCTATGGTTTGATGAGCTGCTCCTGGCTCCTCATGCCCGGCACCAAGATCATATGAATCATATGAGATCTAGATAGATCTAGTTGGTGGTTTCAACCATTTTTATTTTCAGCCCATTGTGGATGCTAGTTATGCTAGTTTTCAGGGGGATTGCAACCACCAACCAGATAATGTATGGCATTTTGGGAGCAAGAGAAATGATACCAGACCATGTTGCATTGATATGTGATGACTCCAGTTGTGATATGATGGGTATTGCTCAAACTTTGGTATCCAACAAAAGGGCTCATTTGCCCAACCAAGATGCCCAAAGAATGATGTCTCCTGGGTCTTACAGTCCCCAGTCCGTAGTAAGAGATGTAAGAGCCATGGTGCTGGCAAGCATAAACCATGACAGACAGCAGTAGAAATTCGCAAAGTCAAAATGGGCAGTAGAAATTTGCCAATAGAAACTGTTTGTGCATAATTCTTATTGGATGTGCTTCAACTGTGCTTCATGGGTGCTGGCTGGTCCGGGCTTGGTCTGAGGCTGGCCGCTGTTCTGACTGGCAAAGCTGTTCTATTCGTAGTGGGCATTTGGACGTGTCTTGTCGTCGACTGCGATACCTCACCCAGTATGTGTGTAGAATGAGTGGCCTGTAGTTTGTTGAAGTGTCAACATGTCAGACGGCCAAATATACGGTCCGCTACTTGTATGTATTGGTCAAAATTTAATATATACATGAAATGTTGATAAATGAACAACCAACAAAGTGGCTGCCCGGGAACTAAGACTTCGACCATCCAATCGAAGAAATCTAAGAACCATACCATACCCATATCATTGTTTGAGATGAAGTGCATGCACTAGCACGAGGTTCTTGGCTATGGGCAACAACACCCAGGCAGGAACTCATAGGAACTCACACTTTGTAGAGGAGTGGCCCATGAAAGATTGGCCAAACCCAGTAGTTTTTCATGGTTTATCATAATTTGCCACGTAAAGCTGCCATAGACTGGGGGGGCCATATGCACCTTACACATTACAGATTACACATTACACTACACACTACGCACTAGGCATTACACGCCACACACTGCACGCTACACACTACACACTACACACTACACTGCATACCAAATTGAATGCATACTACACTACATACGACGTTGCGTACAAACAGTCCATTCCATTACATTGACATTGACAGTAGCAGTAATGTCTGGTTTTCCCAGACATGGTGATAAATAGGAGTGTAATGTAATCTAATGTGATGTGTACTGTGAGGCAAGGCAAGGTATTGCGATGCATTCTGGTGTGTATATAGAATGTGCGGTAATCTTATGTTTGTACATATGTACAATGTATCATAACATATACGGTAACGACATTTAAATATGTGGAGGGCGGGCCAGACCGCGAGGCCGCGGAGGTAGTATGAAATACCAGTTCGTATATTTAAATGTACTTACCGTATGTTTAAATGAATTGGATTCCGTATGTTTAAATGGCCGGGCGGGCCAAGGAAAATTTTCCCGGAGGTGGTCTAAAATACCTGTTCGTATATTTAAAAGTCCGTATATTTAAATGTAGTTACCGTACATATAGTGTTTGCAAGAGTATTTTAACATGTATATATACCATCATCGTCATCGTCATCGTCATCGTCATCGACATCGTCATCCTCCTCATCATCGTCATCGACATCGTCATCCTCCTCCTCATCATCGTCATCGTCATCGTCATTGTCATCGTCATCGTCATCATCATCATCATCATCATCATCCTCCATCCTCCATCCTCCATCCTCCATCCTCCATCATCCATCATCCATCATGCATCATGCATCATGCATCATCCATCATCATCGTCGTCGTCGTCGTCATTTTCGTACATTTTTCTTTTCAAATACATCGCCACATTTTTCACGATGCCTGGCAGGTGGTTCTGTTGGAATGCCTCACCGGCATCACCGATGTGGAGACGTCTTCGCAGATCATGGGCATCTCAGAGGTCGTTGGATGCGGCGTAGGCGCTGCCGGGGTCACCAGCGTCACCGGGGTCACCGGGGTCACCGGGGTCACCGGGGCGTGGGACTCGTGCCAGCGAAAAAATGGGCGATTTGGACAGAACACTACATAAAATGATAATGATAAAATGATTAATATGTTCTTTGATAATGTTAAGATGCATGAACTATGCTAAAATGATGATAAATGATAATTAATGATGTAACATTTCCAGGTTCATTACTGTTTCATTGTTTAAAAATGTATAGAACATTGAGAACATAACCAAGTCTATGGGCCCCTTACCCCCCAAAAAAACAACGCATGTGTTGGTTTTGGTGATCTTTTCATTCTTTGCACTTTTTGGGTTTGAACGATGCAAACTGTACCTGCATCGCCATGCGTTGTTGGCCATCTTCACATGTTCATAAATTTTCTCTTGGCGAAACCGCCAGTTCTGCTGGTGAATTCTCCAGTCTCGCTGGCGAACATGGATCCGCCTGAGAATAGGATACCTCCAAATCTAATGGTTCATCACTTCATCAGTATTTTTTCATCAAAATGGGATAATTTGGACAAAACATAATATAACACAACATAAGCCAATAAAATATATAACATTATATAATATGTCATATCCTAACATCACATCAAGGAATATATTCCAGACATGATATAATGTAATTTAATAGAATATAGCATCATACAATAATATTTAACATACGGTAATACAATATAACATAACATAACATAATATAATTTAATAAAATTTCATATAATATAACATAGCATTACATGTTAACATATAATATAATGGGATATATTTTTTTTTATTATACAACAACAAATAGTACCATAATATATTTGATACACTACAATATAACACAACATCACATAGTAGAACATATTCTAATACACAATATATTGTAATTTCATATAACATGACATAACATAATGAAATATAATGCAACATAACATAAGATAATACAATATATTGTAGCATATCACAATATAATATAACATACTTATAGATATACAAGCAAATATAAATATACATGTAAATGTAAATATAAACATAAACATATACAGTCCACAATGTTTATCGATGTTTCTTGGGTTCGTTTCCTCACGGAGGCACCTTCGGCAGCTATGCTGGAGGCATGCTCTTCGTCCTCTCCGACCGGGCTCCGTTCGCAGGCGCTGAAAATGGGGGGTTTGGCTACCCATCCATGGTGAATGATAGCCACTAGGGTGAGAAAATGGTCAAAAAAGGCTCTTTAGGTGTTTGGAGCAACCCTGCCAAAAGGCAGCTTCAAGGGGAAAATGATGAACCAGTTTCGTAGGCTAAACGTTTTCAAAGCCACACTTGGCTAAGGACATGGACATGATTTCCCAATTTTGTGAAAGGATTACTGTTGATAGGCCAACACGCTGGAAAAGGGTGATAATTAGCCCATGATAGCCCAATTGATCGCCAGGGGATACACCCATCTATGACCATTTTAGGGGAGAAAATGATGATACGCAATGAAACTTCAAGCTTCCAAAACCTACAGATAGACAACCCCATTTCAAGACCACACCATGGGTCCCATGGGTTGAGACCCTCTGCAGCTCGCGGCCGTCAGCCTGTGCTTTGTGGAGTCTCTTCTGTGTTGTTGGACTCACCTGGTCCGTGGGACATCGGCGACTGCAACGTGCCAAGAGTGCAGGCAGTTGGGCATCCAATGCAGTTGTAAAGGCTATAGAACTCGGTAGAACAATATTGGAATCCAAAGGGTGTTTTCGAACTACAACTCTTTAAGCCTCTTGTGCGTCTTGGGGGTACGAGGTTTGAGTCTCAGCACCTCAAGTCTTCGCAAGACCCTGCGAGTAACCAAACTTGTTGAACAGTTTTTTATTGGGGAACAGATGCGGCGGTTTCCTGAAATTAGGTGCCCCAAAGTCCTTTAATGTGGAAACTAATGGTTTGGACCCACAGCTTTCGGAAACCACAGCTGCTGATACCTGCTGCATCAAATCTCACAGCCGTTCCTGCGAGGTGATGATGGGACGGTCTTCCAGTCGCAGCCGTCCGAGATCTTCACTTTGCCAAGCTGTCAAGGTTTAAATTTGACACTTGGTGGTGCTGAAGTGATGGAGGAAGCCCATGTTTGGTATGGCAGCTATGGGTTTAAATATCCACCAAATGGTAAAATTGGACAATATTTGGCAAATGCTGTTTTTTTCTTCCCTCATTTGGTACACCCAATAGTACACTATCCCATTTGCCAAAACCAGTTGGGTATTTTTTGTGTCATCCCGGTCATAGGGGTAACGGGTAACACCCCACCGTTCAGAGGGTTTGGGCTCTGGAATCCTGAGAGGTGGCTCATCTGCCCAGTCTTAAGAGGGGCGCGCCTAGGATGCTGGAAGATCGAGAAAGAGCACACAGCTTCATTGGTCCTGCGACTTGGCCCACGATTTTGCTCGGTATTAATTTTCATTTTCGCCCTGTCGGGAACTGCTTCTGTGGCCGTCTGTGGCTTTTGGCTTCCCGTTTGGCTACCAAAAGCTTTTGTGCCTTTCGGTTTGGTTCTTAGCCAGTGTGGCTCTTGTAGTTTCTTGGTTTCTTTGCCACAGAACGACATGCTGTTGTTTTCCTTTTTTTAAGGGATGGAGCGGCGCCCTCTGCCCCAATGCCCGGTTCCGCACCACTAAATCTGCACTCGCAGCAAAGCTCCTCAGCTAGAAATTGTTGCAAACAACGCCCTTCTGGCAAAGATAGGGTGGAGATGGGTCGGGCATATTCTCCACCTTCCCAATGCTGACATCGTCCGCCAAAAGCCTGACAGAGCTGCAGTACTCTTATGTATCATGGGGTCCACCGCTGCAGTACCGGACCAAATATTACCGGACATCGAAATGCCATACTGGCACTGGTCTTGATGATGGTGATAGTGCAGCAGCCTGCTGCCATCGACGGGTTGAGAAGGAAAGTGGCTGGGTACATGCACATTCATGCACATGAGCTGCCTGGCATTTGCCCCAACCATTCCAGCAGCCAATACTGGTGGGAAAAACGTTGAAGGAACCTTTCGTGGACGGCAGCGTGTCCGTGAGGTCACAGACTCCGAATCAGCAGTGGACACAACCTCCATTGGTTGCATTTGGCAACCGGGTGGCTTTGGCCCAACACATCTCACTTGAAAGGTGCAGCTGCCAGCTATATGAGCTGGGATGATCTCCTGGAGACGGCCATGGAGATAGCAATGATGGATTCAAGGCTCAATGGCTGCTTCCATAGGAAATAGTATGGAAATAGTATGGAAATAGTATGGACATGACAGATTTAGGCTCCGAAATGCTGCTTCTTGGCTTCTTTGCTTCTTAGCAACACCTGGCTGTGTTGTTGCTTCACTGTGGCTTGGATTCTTGGCTTCATCGTGGCTTCTCCGCTTCTTCCTCAGTCAGATCCACTCCAGCTGGAAGAAACACAACAATGTAACAGCAAAAGTCACAACAAGAAACAGCAACATCAACACCGGCAAAAATTACATGCTTAGAAGGACAGCAGGGATGACAAAGACAGGAACACATCACGAGGAGATACACCCCTTCTGCCCGCGACATTTGCACTTCTCCATTCCTAAGTGCTGCCACCAAATCAGTATTTATATACAGGATAAAATGACACAAATACCATGCAAATATAGATTAATCTTCAATACGCTGCAACCATTGTGAAAAAGCAGCAACAAAAATGCGAGAGAAACCAGGAGCAAACATTTTATTCCAAATTGTAAAATACCGCGCCAAAAAAAAATCAGCTGCAACATGCATTATTCATCAACAATGAGAGATTTAGGGTCAAAATTGCAGGAATTTAGCGGGAAATGCTGCAAATAATGACCATGAAAGTTGCAAAAATAGCATGCAAGCTGCGGATTTAAACGATGCAACTATCCTGCAAAGAACAGATTTCAGCAAGTAAAGGCAGAAAAACATCCCAGGACGGGAAGGCAACAAGAATAGTTCCGAAAATCCGTGCCTGTACTGGCCTGTACTCCCGATCATCAGGGTGAAGTTGCAAGTGTGCAGATGCCTTTGCGCAGGCTGGCTAGGAAACCAGGAAAAATATCGAAGAATTGAAAATACCAACGCTCGCAAGTGCTGCGTGGTTTGATTGGACGCATTTTCACACCCTTTTCGTCATCGAGCTATATCAAGCAACATTTCACGCCCAAGCTGCGGCCTAGGAGATGGAATTCCGCGCCCTGTCGTCGGTTGATTCTGAGTGCTTCTTGCCTGACTGGGAAGTGGATGGCGGACCCACATGCAGGTGCAACATTGTTCAACTGAGTGGTGGTATAGCATGGTGCGGTGGTTCAAAGATGGCTAAGTCATCCCAGTGGAATCCAGTTGACATACCCTCTGATAGATTCTGATAGCCAACCAAATAGCAACGGAAAATCCACCATTTTCTTCGATGGTTTTCCCATGTTTTCCTGTGCGGATCTGAGGCTCGACGACCCTAACATCTGAAGCACATTGCTCTCCAGAGATGTCTTGTGAAAGTGTGTAGCAAGTGGAGTTGGTTCTGGAAACGGCTGAGTTGAGGACATCCATACACGCGCAGAGAGAGAGAGATATATATATATACACATGCGTGTGTATGTATGTGTATTAAGTACAATATATATATATATAATATATAATTGAGTCTTCGGACGGCTTCAGCAATTTTGTTCTTCTCTTTGATGATCTTGATATATCTCGATGGAGGCCCTGTAATATCACAGCTTCGTCTCCCAAATGCCTTTTTAATTTTTGGGCCCTGCCGTTCAACATGATGCTGGTAACAAGCCGGCAGAATGCAACAGCGGCTGCTGAAATTCAAAGCCTCTCTTGGAGGAATATATAAGTCGATTTCCTAGCATTCAGGTGTTGTCTCGTTACTTTCAGGTTTCATGTTTTGAAGTGCGCAACAGTTACCATAACCCAATATCTGTTCCACAGGGTCTTTGATGTTCTGCCTTGGTGGCACATTTTCACCCACACTGGAGAAGTAATGCGATGTTTCATGTGACTTGATGCTTGTCAGAAACAAGCCAGCTGAGCCGACAGCAATAGGTTTGGCACCTAACCGAGCATTAGCAGAGAATGCAAAACACTTTACAAGTCAACCCGCGAAGCATTTCAGCTCACAAACTTTTTGCTGACAAGGGTTTTGGCGCAACCGCAGGCAATCATACTGATGCAATCCTCTCAGTCCTTCTTGGCGCTCGGACATCTACATCCTTGTGGCTATCTTCGTTCTTTGACTGGTGCCGGCAACCCCCTGGCACAGGCATACCACCGCACCCCGGCGCCCCAGCGCCCCGGCGCCCCGGCGCACAGCTCTCCCACCACCGGCCTTCTTTTAAGACATTTTCTGAGACAAAACACAATATTTAGGAGGCATAGGCTTGCATTTGGGTCTTGGACATGTTGCCTTTGCCTGTGCAGCTGACACCACCAAACTGGCCACACCAGGAACCTGTGGCTGCACTTTGCTGCGGCATTGCTTCTCCCAAACCAGGGACAGACAAACGCCTTGGACCCAACCACCACACAAAAGAAGGGGGATGGCTTTGGCTAAACCACCATGATTGTTTTTCAACGTCCAAAATGTCCAAAAAATCGACAGGTATCTGTTTTATTTTATTTTGCCTAAAATTCTCGCAGAGATATTTTGCCAAAATATCTTACAAGATATTTCGCCAAAATATCAGGAACGATACTTTGCCAAAATATCCCGGAAGATATTTTGCCAACATATTCCGGAAGATATTTTGCCAGAATATCCCACCAGATATTTTGCCAGAATATCCCACCAGATATTTTGCCAGAATATCCCGCAAGATACTTTGGTAAAATTTGCTAAGAGACCCCAATCCCGCGTACCAGAACATTCATGGACACCTAAAGGACATCACATCAAATTTCAAAACAACAATACAAAACATAATATAAACAATGCTAATGACATTCAATGACTGAACATTTTCAATACCTATACAACATATAACATCATATGACAAAACAACGATATCCATGATTCAAACGCATCTTGTCTGAAACGCCGGCTGGTCTACTCACAAGCTCTTTTTCCATCACCATTCGCCATGCCATGTCAATCACCATACCAACGTTGCACAGCTTCTGCTGTAGCTGCCCATATGTCCTTATCCCATCTGGTGTGGCGCCAACGGAAAGAGTGCACGTAACCATCCAGAATTGAGGAATTACAGTTCTTTGTGGTTGTGAGAATTGACTTTCGCAAATGCTTGAAGAAGTTGTCTGCCAGCTGGGACCCCAACTTGCATTTGATTTTCTGCACACGAGTCCACTTCTTCTTGGGTTTATGAACTTGTTCCATGGATCTTGGCACCTTGACTGTGACGGTTTTGGAGTATTGGGCCTTTTGCCCAGGCTTCCTTGCACTATGGCAAATGTGGAAATTTTTCACACCAGGAATCTTGACTGTTCTGTATGCTTTCGCGGCATCTGTGAACAACAGGAATTTCCGATCTCGTAGGTTCAGATTGCCAAACTTGGACCACTCTGTCTTGGAGATCGAGCCACCTCCTCCTTGTCCTTTGCCTTTGACCACTCGATCTTCTAGACGGTGCAACACACTCTGAGATCTGTCACCACGGGTCAGAATGAGCAAATAGCGTAGCCACTTCTTTTTGCCACCTGTTGCGTGAGCTCTCAAACTGATCTCATCTGCCTCTCCCTGCGTCCAGCTTTTCGCATCTCCAAACTCTACTGTTTTCTGAGTTGTCTTGCTATTCCACGCAGTCAGTTTTCTCCAGCCACCGTAGAGTCTTTCAACGGCTTTGTGGTTCAATCCAGTCAGCATGTGGGCAACTCCTGCTGGGATCTCTAAGCACTGGCACAAAAGCGCCAGGCTTTGAGGTCGAAGGTCTGCGGACTTGCCTGCATAGCTGAAGGAGGGGTGGTTGTGAAGCCAGTGTGTTCGGCGACGGCAATTCTTCTTGGAGCAATAGAACCACTGCCACTGTGACTTTTCCTTCTTCAACTTGGACTGCTTGCACCATGGGCAGGTCTTGTCTGTCCAGTCCCGAGCTAGCTTCTGGCCAACCAGGAAAGACTTCATGTCACTTTCCTTCATGCATCCCAGCTTCAAAGCATCAACAGTCCACTTCTGCGTGCGCAAAGACCGTCTACCTTGGTTCACAGCTTGCTCTGATGGCACGTAGTTCACAACTAAAGTCTTTTGCCGCCTCCGGATTGGCGCTAGTGCAGCTCGTTGCTTTCCCTTTTTCGGCCTCCACGTGTGGGCAACCTTCCCCTTTTTGATTGTTTTCTTAACTGCATGGCGCTTCCTGCGCTTCATTTGCTTCATTGCAGCGGGAACCCAAGCGAACTTGAGCTAAGATTGCAAAGCATTCTCGAACTGAAACTTTTACCACGTGTATAAGGCATTTTCCAAGCATATTATGCTAATTTCATACCCCTATGGCATACCCAAAAGGGTACGTACCAGAGGGGTCTCTTACCTAAAATTTTGCCCACAAGATATCTTGCCAAAATAGCCACAAGGATCCTTAGGAGACAATCTGCATCGCCCTTTTGGGGTCCGAACCAGAAAGTTTCCAGGGGTGATGGTCCGGGTGAAACCATCGTCCCCTGACAGATGGACAAGCTGACAGAGTGAGGTATGTTGTCATCATATCACCCTCGAAAATGTGTTTTAACAGGTTTTCCAAATGCCAGACAGCAAACTGCAACTGTGCATTGCTTGGAAATCTATCTGTATCATGGCTGGCACCCGTTCAGAGGGTGATGGTCCGGGTGAAACCATCGCCCCTGGAAGACTTTTGATGTGAACCAGCAAGGGGTGATGCAGATTGTCTCCTAAGGATCCTTGTGGCTATTTTGGCAAGATATCTTGTGGGCAAAATTTTACCAAAGTATCTTGCGGGATATTCTGGCAAAATATCTGGTGGGATATTCTGGCAAAATATCTGGTGGGATATTCTGGCAAAATATCTTCCGGAATATGTTGGCAAAAAATCTTTCGGGATATTTTGGCAAAGTATCGTTCCTGATATTTTGGCGAAATATCTTGTAAGATATTTTGGCAAAATATCTCTGCGAAAATTTTAGGCAAAATAAAATAAAACAGATACCTGTCGATTTTTTGGACATTTTGGACGTTGAAAAACAATCATGGTGGTTTAGCCAAAGCCATCCCCCTTCTTTTGTGTGGTGGTTGGGTCCAAGGCGTTTGTCTGTCCCTGGTTTGGGAGAAGCAATGCCGCAGCAAAGTGCAGCCACAGGTTCCTGGTGTGGCCAGTTTGGTGGTGTCAGCTGCACAGGCAAAGGCAACATGTCCAAGACCCAAATGCAAGCCTATGCCTCCTAAATATTGTGTTTTGTCTCAGAAAATGTCTTAAAAGAAGGCCGGTGGTGGGAGAGCTGTGCGCCGGGGCGCCGGGGCGCTGGGGCGCCGGGGTGCGGTGGTATGCCTGTGCCAGGGGGTTGCCGGCACCAGTCAAAGAACGAAGATAGCCACAAGGATGTAGATGTCCGAGCGCCAAGAAGGACTGAGAGGATTGCATCAGTATGATTGCCTGCGGTTGCGCCAAAACCCTTGTCAGCAAAAAGTTTGTGAGCTGAAATGCTTCGCGGGTTGACTTGTAAAGTGTTTTGCATTCTCTGCTAATGCTCGGTTAGGTGCCAAACCTATTGCTGTCGGCTCAGCTGGCTTTTTTCTGACAAGCATCAAGTCACATGAAACATCGCATTACTTCTCCAGTGTGGGTGAAAATGTGCCACCAAGGCAGAACATCAAAGACCCTGTGGAACAGATATTGGGTTAAGGTAACTGTTGCGCACTTCAAAACATGAAACCTGAAAGTAACGAGACAACACCTGAATGCTAAGAGATTGACTTATATGTAATAGATTTGTAATAGCCAATAGTGTAGTGCCATGCAATACCGTAATACCTCTGTCGCAGTGGTCAAGTTGACGAATATTGACGGATGCAGGTCATGCAGCCAAGCAGCAAGCAGCAAGGATCAGCTCGGTTTGTGTTGAATGAATGAGCATTCTTCAGCCTAACTTGTAGCCTTGGAGTCCTTAGAGCGACAAAACGATGATGATCCAATTTTCTCAGTTCATATTTTTACATAATATATATATATATAATTATATATATAACTAATTCATATTCAGTTCCGATTTTGCTTCATGGCGTCATCTCGAAGGCTTCCAAACCCGAGGGAAAGGGCTAGTTTCATGTAGTTTCAAGACTTGTAACTTAAAGAATCATGCTTCAACCCCCAACTTCTTTGCCAAACTCCCATGCTGGTGTCGTAGAATTTCTCGGTACGTCAACTTGAAGCGGCGCAGAGCCACGCCGTGGCGGCCCATCGTTTCATGGTCCACGACGTTGAAGTTTTGCTGCGCTTCGCGAGCGGTGCCAGCTTCTGTTTGTGATGCTAGCGCAGAACCCGGAGTGCACTGCCGAGCGCCGGTTGGGATGTGTTTGCCGGCAGTGAACCTTCAAAACCAGCAACACTCATTCTCCCGATGTCCTGGTGCTAAGTTGTTAAAGGAGAAACAAGCTAAAA